TGTAGCATTTTCTTGCAAAAACTGACGGATCAAATGTTTTCCAAATTGGTATGCGAGAAAAGACCTTTAGAAAGGTACATGACCCTTCTTGCCATCAAAAAAATACTTAAAATGACGCTCTTCTGTCATTTTGACATTTTGAGACGTTTTTATAAAAGAGGGTCCCACCATTTATGTGAAATGATATGAAATATTATAAAGGATAAAACGAGGTGCTCTATCTATAATGAGAAGGTTTTTAACTTGTCTGTGAAAATAACAAACAACTTTTGTCTTAAAAATTTTTTGACATTTTTTACAGATTGTGAGATGTGATGTGATGTGATGAGATTATTTATTTATTTATTTATTTATTTTATGGCGTTTCCTTTTTAACTCTAAAGATGTTTGCCTATTTCGACATTACTCTAAAATGCAATTTAGGACTTCGAAAGCTAAAAGGGAAAGAAAACAATTAAGTCAATAAAGTACACATTCCTTTCCTAATGGCTTTTCATCAAAATATTCCTGTAATTAGTAAAAACTATGAGGAAGCTGATACTTCCTCGTTTCACTTTGATACTTTTCATTAGAAATACGTAAAAGCATAATCACTTTTATCAGTGGTGTGACCTTAAACTTATAATTATAGAAGCACTATACTTCCGAATCCTTATCATTTAAATAAGTAAGTACGTTTTAAGAGTAAACAAGCGGATCATATATATCTTTTCGACATAACAAAATTGAGATCCGGTTTATGGTACTTTTAGTTGAATATTAAAGCGGCAAAATTATAGAAATTTTTGGAGAACAATTTCAAAACGGTGGATGTGGAAAGAAAAATCGACTACGGGAATATTTTAACAAAATGAAAAAGTAAATTTTCTCTCCGATCCTCTTATTTTGCGACGCGATTTATCAAAAGCCGTAATAACTCCTTTGAATGGCGCCACATGTAGGTAATATGCCTGTGCCGCGAGCAAACGTATCGCAAAGAACTCTTAGTTACTGATGAGCGAGGCATTTTTTTAAGACTGCAGAACGTGCATGACCTCGTCTTGTATATAGTATTATATCGCGCTTGCGAGATATTTGAGTTCAAGTGCAATAAATGTTTACTTATATTTAGCGCTGTTTAGCAAACGCGAATAATGATGATGATAAAAAGTTTACTCGCCTTTTCAAATTGTGCCAGGTCTTTGCTCTTTCCAACCGAGAAGAAAGTAATATAGCTGGACGGAAAAATCTCTATTTGCAACTCCGCAGATCTTTATGGATGTCTACAGACGTCCTGGGATCCCATAACGGCAAATTTGAATTTGAATTGAAAACCTTCAAACTTTGTACTAATACAAACAAAACATTACCCAAACATTACCAAAAAAGTTGTACTCCACTGTATATTTGTGGAAAATAATTTCTTGCACTTTCTTCTGTTTTAAAACTAAGAGCAGTCAGAGCTGGCACAACTATTCGATTTGAAATTTACATTCTTTTTAAAGACCTGGAAAAAATCGCCTCTATCTGTATGCTTGTACGTCTGCTGTTCTCCATGGATCTCCACTGATCTTCATAAATCTTTACAATATGTCCATGTATCTATCCCTCTCAATTCCACCTGAACCATATGTTCACGAAAGTTTTCATATGTTTTTGTATTCATTACGATTTGTGGTTCCCAAAGTGATTCAGGTGGATCTCCACGAGTTAGCGTAACAAAAAATACATTTATAAGGAATATGGCAGAAACGTATGTATAGAGATGCCCTGGGATCTCGAAAACAAACGTTTTGTCAATTTATTGACCTGAAGTTATTCTAGTCATACTAGTAAGGCACCAATTGAAAAAACCTGACTTAAATTTTTGTACAAATACATACAAAACATTAACCCAAAATTGGCAGTTATACTTCACTGTATGTTTGTGGAAAGTAATTTCTTGCATATCTTAGATCTGTTTTAAAAGCAAAGAAATCAGAGTTTGTGCGATTTTAAATTTATATATTTTTTAAAGACTTGAAAGAGGGCTTTAAAATCCTAATAAATTACGTCTCTGTCTCCACCGGTCTACCGGACATGCATGGCATGATCTTACTTTCCCACTGATCTTTATGAATCTGCACGATATCTTTCATCCGTTTTCGTATTTATTTAGATAATTTTTTTGCCAAAAAGTTGTTAAAATCCAAACAACCTAGGTAACTCCATCCGCTTGGTAAAATCTGCATCTCCGTGGACTCTTAGGGCCGTGGACGGTTAAATTTAGTAGGTAGTAGTCCGTTTTCCCGTACCTTTTCTTTTGTATGAAGTCATCTGCTTGCTCCGACAATCATTTCATTTAAGCGCTCCCGTTGCCCAAAACTTCGTTGCGATATTATCTCAGGGGAACGTATCAAAGAGTTAAACCACCCGTTTCGGGCATTCAGATGAAATACCCTTTAACGATAGTAAATGGTAAAGTATCCAATTGTTTGTATCAACGTTTATATGGGAATTCTGCTACGAATAATGTTAATTTAAAATGAGATAAGAAATGACATACATATAGGACAGACGGAAAAATAATATTACATTAATATCCATATAAGTTATAGGTTTTTACTTTACTTTAATAACTTATTTATTCAAAAAACTATTCACTCATCGTCACCAGTTGTGATCGGCTTAACCTATAATGACGTCACTTGGCGGTAAGTGAATCTTGAGGTTTGCGATTTTAAAATTATATTGCTTGTGATAAGAATATAAAATATTATATATAATAACCATCTTAAAATCACAGAATTTTTTTGCCATATCTACTTTGGTGCCGTTGCACCAGAAATATTTGAATTTGATTATATATATATATATATATATATATATATATATATATATATATATATATATATATATATATATATATATATATATATATATATATATATATATATACAGCAAGAATTAACAAAAACATCGTCGAATGAAGGTATCAATAACCAATAATGAGTAAAAAACTATTGATTGAATATTTAAAAGCTCCGCTCCAACTTTATATTTTTTTTCCATCCCTAACGAGGGCGTTAAGTGCTGAAAATGTCTTAAATTTTCTAATATCCGAAGGCGTTCTTAATTATACCTACCCCGTAAAATACATTTCCCTTGCATCTTCCTTTAATTAGAAATTTAAAATGGATCGCATCTCACCTTGCTCCAACCTAACTATTTCGTCTGATAAATTATAGTAGGTACGAAAACCAATCCTGCAACCGACCAACCGTGGTTCTTTCAGCCGAATAAATATGATCCAATTAGTCTATAAATTAGAGGGAGACCGGCGCCAGATTTGAAAGGGACATTTTTGTTTACCTACAGGCAGAGGGCTCAGGCTTGTTGGAGTTACGAGCCGGCGAAAAATACTACTCAGTTTGATCAGTTTAACTAAATTAACTCGTTTAATCGTCGGAGAATTTAAAGAAGAATAAATGAAACGATACGCAATAGTATCAGATCAAAATAGAACAATTGTGATTTTCAAAATAATAATGAGTTTTCTGTTTGGCAATTGGATAAGGTGGATACGATTTTTCTTATGTATTCTGTACCTTCTAAGTATCGTATTTTTATAGAACCAACTGTCTTGCCTCCAATTGCGTCCAATAGTAGGTTAAACCAATGCTAACTTTAAAACAGACGTTGGTTGTTTTACCATCATTTATTTTGTAATTAAAGAAACGATTCATTCAGATTATCATTACAAACTGAAATGATCACCGATTTATGTAAAACGAGGAACATAAATTTCTGCGTGTCAAAAGAACTGTTGTATTATTAGAAGAATGTTTTTTTTTCAGAGCCTCCCCTACCTTACAAACTTAATATTACCTGGTTACTAATAATCTGAGGAGTGGAGAATATAAATACATACATGGTTGGCTATTCTCAAGCTTTATGGCGCGTTTAATATTATTTTCGCGTATATCATGGATCAAGTACATTTGGATATTGGTGAAGTGAGTTAATTTGAAATTTATTTAGAGCTCTCTCAATTTTTGCTCGTCACTATCAAAAATTGTCAAGAATGTGGTAGCATTGAAGTTGGAGATAAGCAACTTTTAAAATAGACTACATCGTACAGCTTTCCAAAGTTTTTCTCATTGGTTTGTTGGTGAACGCCGGTTAAGTTTGTTGCAAAGTACCGCTTTACATGTCCGAGTTGTTCAAAGTTAGCTAAAATGTTATTTTCCCTTGAATTTACCATCAAAGGAAGAATATTTATTGCACCAATTGGTCACGCACCTATCAAAACCACCCAATTTCCACTTTTTGCTCTGCATCGATGTACGGAAAAACTTTACCACTTTAAATTACGTTTCTTATTTGAGTTTTGTACGATTTGCCTATATTACATACGTGCAGTAGTTTTATTCTTCGAGGTGTATTCCATGCGATTTTAGAATAGAACTCAAGCTATTACGGATATCGAGAAGTAAAAAAGAGAGTTGCTAAAACCGATTCCCAAGAGTTACATAAAACTAATCAAACTTTCTCCTGATTGGTTAACTTGAGCGTGAACCTGGATACCCAACTCCACTCATAAGTCGTTTAGTGTGTGCTAGTGTGCTCATTTAGCCTTTGCTCGCTCCTTGTGATAATCTTTTTTGGCGATGAAATAAGTTTACTACGTTTTTTTTTTCAATTTTGGTTCGTCTATAATTAATCTGGAATAAAGATTATATGAACCATGGTCATTTTGTGTGTACTAGAACATAAAAACCGCATGTTTGCGGCTAGCAATGCTAGTAAGTGTCAGATATCAGTTGTACGACTATTCCGAAAGATTCACATTATTTTATGGTATGGTTCTGAAAGACTTTTCAATCGTTGTCATTTCCTCACTTCGTCAAAAATATGTTTTGCCGTACTTCGAATATCCGAAATCTGCTTATTGATTGTTCCAATGACGAAAATTGTGATTTCTGATATTCGTTAGGTTTAGTTAGTTTCACATTAATGAAAATGATCGAATAGGTACTTACAAGTATCGTGGGCGTGTACCCTCTCCTTATTAATAGTTCCTCAACGAATCCCTCTTAATTAACGAGGTCTCCGGATCCATCGAACTAAAAAGGAAAACAACACGGATCACTGCAGATGATCACATTTTGAACTTATACTGTGCCAGAATCTATTAAACAATCACACAACACAACCGCACAATGAGTTATTTACGCGTGTCGCGTGATTTTTTTTTTAAAGTCGCCCAAATCCTTCATTTAAGCGAAGGCGCTTTATCCTTGTTTGACAAAAAAAAATTGTTATATGCAATAAGTCATCCGTCCTTTCGCTAAGTACGTAAGCATGGCGCTCGATCACTGATCCGAGAGGAGGGCATTTCTATGGAACCGGCCGCGTTCGGGTATGTTCGGGACGGTCCGCCCGTAAATTCTCTCGCTCGGTCCTAACGTGCAGTAAAAACAATAGTGTAAAGCTGTTCGAAAAGAGAAAGGGAATGATGTTTCCTAGAACGGTTATGGAATATAAAAATAACAGGGGAAATAATTCATCGGTTTGTGTACCATATTATGTGAACTTAATAGTTGATTGTAATTATGAAAGATGTTTAAATAATAAATAAACGTTTATTCGAGTCGTTTGTTTATTAAACGCTTGATGAACTGGATAAGTTTGAGTTGTCTTGTGCACCCGTGAAGTTTATTTAGGTACCTGCTTCAAGAAAGGTGTGTCCTATTTAACTCTATCTAGTATGGAAGTTTAGAAACTACTCTATTGGAACATGAGAAGGTTATAATCATTAGAGGATGTGCAAAAATAATACTTAAAGTTCGGTAACAAAGCTAGGGTGATAAATTTTGCAGGTACTAAGTGTACAAGAAAAAGGCAAAGGTTAGTTGTTTAACCATTTCTCCATACTCGTTTAGACTGCTATTCGGCCAGAAGATACCCGGATAGCATCGATAAAGGTGGCAATGATTTCAAAAAGATAAATTAGAAAATCTTGTGTCATTAGAACTAGTTTTAGGGTTAGATATCATTTTTTGTAAAAATAATTCGGATATGTATTAATTATTAAATACCATCTCCCATGCCGCGCCAAGTCTATCTAGATAGTCTGCCTATATGATGAACACTAATTACGACCATCAGAGATCGGAATTTTTTTAGGCGAGGATCGCATTGCTGTATTGGATTGTATTGCTTCAAATTACTTATTCTGAGTTAATTGAGATTCGGAACAGAGATCTATGCGATATTGATGTGATTGTGAAAATTTGAATAAAGAATACTCGGACAATCTATATTTGGACTACTACTTGATTACCGAAAAACAAGAACAAGAAGATTTAATGTGATTCTGTCAAATTCGTTTGGATATCTACCAATGTGAATGCGGCAAAGCAGTAGTAGTAGTTAGACAGAGCGTATATATAAATGTTATTTCTGTAGTAAGATATGTCTGGATCCAATAATCGAGCATCGTAATTGAGCATTGATCTCGTAACCAGTTGTGGGATACCAATCAATCTTTCAAGTCTGTAGATTTTTCCAAACTTTCTATAAAACAGACAGACTAGAGGAGAAAGAGAATGGATCCAAAGGTCTGAATGTAGTGCCTTGGTTACAAGGACAGGAATAGGAATAGAATGATGTCACAACGAGTAACGAGCAACCACAAGCAATCAACATTATAAAAGAGGCAGCAAAAACATTTTTTGTATATTTATTGGGGCGCTGATATTTTACTAATGGCATAAAATGTTGTATTCAAAATGTATATAATTTTTTTTTTTTAATTGTATTCGTATACAAAATTTGAGGTATATAATCAGGACATACCTCGATGAACTATCCTAAATCCAAGCTCTTGTATTGTTATTTATGAAAACGCCATACGCCAGAAATAACCCAAGTTTAAACCATAAATGATATAATGATGATATGATGTTTTGCCAGATCACGGCTATCTTGATTTTTGATATGTTAGCACGCTGGTTAGAACACTGGGCGTGGTCGACTACTACACAAGTATAGAGTAGGCCGTTTATTTTGGGACACTACCTTTCTCGGAAAATATGGGGATGGAACCAAAAGTTAAATACAAAAGTTAATTGATGTATTACAAACCTATAATTTATTTTTATTTTGTATATACAACTTTCTTATTTTAAACGGAACACCTGGCATATTATTTCATTTTTGAATTCTATACAAAATTCTAGACATATTTTGTGTATAATGTCCTATAGCTAAGTCTAACCGTTTTTGACATTTTTAATTTTTTATGCGAAAAATGACGTTTGCAAGACGTAAAAAAAACATCTGCCAATTTACGCATATTTAATATAGGCTACGCGAAAAATAAGATTAAAAATGAAATTAAAAAAACTGCCAAAAAAGTTTCTTTTTTAATGGAAACTACCTATTTGTATAATCTTGTCATATTTAGCATAAAAATTAATAATAATTATTTTTACTTTCTGAAATGTTTCCTTTTATATATCTATCACAAATAATTTACAATATAAGTTCAGTTAGTGTAAGGTAGCTGTGACGACGATCCTGCTGTCAAATTAAATTTCGTCGTTCCCCTTTAAACACTTCATTTTCAACAAAGAGATGGATAATATTTATAAGCTCTAAGTAGCGTTGGGAGTTTCAATTCTGATCAAAAAATATTGGACCAATTATTCTGAACCTCCAAATGGCCCACCATACTTTGACAGAAGTTCCACCTGATCTTATAACTTACATATGTTTTTTATTATTCTTGTTGCTTCAGTAATAAGTATTTTTCCGATTAAAAATTTTAGTGGAGGATGTAAATATGGAGTCATCTGTTCAAATAATACTAAGAAATATGTTTTCTGAAATATGTCTTGCTCTAATTTCTACACTGGAGAGAATTTTTAGGACTTCTATTTCTTTATTTGAATGCACGTTCGAAGCGTTCTTCTTTTGACATATAGATCTAGCATTTCGGTTTGAATCTTCAGGGGTCCCTGCAAAAAGCAACAAAATATTAAGCTGCTCTTCATCTTTCAAAATATTACGGCGTCTATTTTTTTCCTTCTTCAAGGTTCCATATATTATAAGGTGTAGGTAAATTCTGTCCAAGATCTGGCGCCCCTTTAATGGAAATTTTGTTATATAATCTCTAAGAGCCAGGCTCCGGTTTTTATTGTTCCATATGTAACTTTCTAACATATCAATCTTTTCCTCTGTGGTAAACATGATACGCAAGCAAGCGAATAAGTTAAATTTATAAACGGTAAATAATTTATCTCTCTGTCAATTATGACAGTATTCAACAACAAAACACGCGACTAAGAGGACAGCGTTCTAGCACTTGTTTTGTTTAAACACCGCCTTACACTACATTTGTGATAAACGAATGTTTAAAAGAAATTATTTGAAAAAGTAAACTTATTAGACAACCTTATATAAAATTGCCTGAATTTTTAATGAAAAGATTTTAAAAATAGGTAAATTCCATTAAAAAAAAAGTTTTTGGGCGGTTTTTTTTTTCATTTAATTCAATATGTATTGAAATTTCTTATGGAATCCGTTATTCGAGTCCTTTGTCTACAACGAAACTTATTCAAGTGAAACAATAAATGTTTCCGAATGAAGGAATAGGCAGATATTTTACGTCTTGCAAATGTCACTTTTCGCCTAAAAAATTAAAAAGGTCAAAAATGTTGAGACTTGGGGATAGGACCATTATACACAAAATACGTATAAAATTTTGTGTAGAATTCAAAACTGAAGTAGTATACCAGATGTTCTATTTAAAATAAGAAAGTTGATATTCGCCTATGAAAAATGAAACACCCTGTATATACAACATTAAAATAAATTAAAGGTTAACTTAAGATTAACTTTTGACTCCATCCCCTATAGTTTCTGAGATATAGTATCGTCCCAAGATAAACGGCCCACCCTATACTAGAGAAGGTGATTCCAGTTCATTTCCTAACGGGCACCATTATTGACGCACGATTAAGAGTATTGGGAACTCCATTTATTCAGAGCAATCCAATTTTTCCTAGAGTATAGAATATAAAAGGTACTTTCACTTTGAAAGATTGAAAATTAAAATTTTCCTAAATGGGACGTTTTTCCAAATTCGACCTATGTGCAACACATAGGAGGAAACGGAGTGATCACGTGCTCATAAAATGTAAATTTCCGTATTTATCTTTCACCAGGTTAATAACGCGTTCGTTGTATCGCATATTTTTGGCTCATGGTCCGTATCCATATAATTTATTCGATTTAAGTACCAATTTTAAAATGTGTAGTTTTATTCCTCTATGTAAATTCGTTTTACAGTTAGCAACACCATGGCTCAGTGCAATTACGGGCCTTCTTTATTAATTTATTCGGTCGTAATTAGGCGATAAATTTCTTTTTCAACCTTTCGTAACTATATACAGGCCCCAATTAACTTCGAAATGATATGTAATTATTCGCCATAAAGGAGCTAGAATATAATATGTATAAAAGTGTGTGTCCGAAATTTTGAAGCCGAGTATGATGACGAGAATAGCCGTACAAAAATATCGGCTGAATCACCATTTCATAAAAAAATGCTTTATGATCTACACACGGTTTAGCTATTGATTATTTCTTTTACATATTTATTATTATATTACTTGATAAAGGTTCGGTAACTGATAACGGATTATAATATTAAAGAATCGGTTTGAGCTTCTTATGTTATAAAATTCGAACTTTGAAAGAATTTATTTATCTTATCGGCAGCAGTGTGGAACGCTTTGTCAGAATATTTAACGTGGCTCTACAATATAGATATCACATCTTCCCAGAAGTACCACGTAATCGCTGAGTAAATTATGCTATCGCATGGAGAAATTCTTCGACGTTTTAGGCGGAGAAGCAATAATTTCTGTGAATGATACGTCTACAAGGTTTTGTACAAATACGAAACGTGTAGTATTTAGTACGTCTAAGAGAAATCTTATCAAAAATATTAATACCGTTTTCTAGCGTTTCTTCTAATGGCCCACATGTTTGATTTAATAAGCTTCACTTTATTTCAGTCTTTCCATGATGTCCCCACCCATAAAACCATATAATAGTATTGACTAACTGCTAACTGTACGTTTCTTGCTATTTCTTTATGTTTTGTTTATATAATTTTCATCTCAGTTTTTGTGTTTGTTCATTTAGTGTCTTAGTCAAATGGTGGTGATGGTGAATCTACTTTTTTTTAATCCCTACTCTAAAATACCCCATTAAGCCCATCAAACACTCAGTACTTTGTTTACGGGCTTTGGAGCGATCAGAGGTTTTCGATTCTGATCGTCACGTCACAC